GACTGATAGGCCTGTAGTTTCCAGGGTCATCCTTCTTGCCCTTTTTGAACATTGAGACAATCTTAGCCAGCTTCCAGTCAGCTGGGAGCTCCCCAGATACGCAAGACTGTTCAGAAATAATTGAGAGAGGCCTTGCAATGACATCAAACAGCTCTTTGAGTATTCTTTGATGAATGCCATCATAAAGCCAGATAGATACATGAGGATCCAGCTGGAGCAGCAGATCCCACACAAATTTGGGATCAACTGGAAGTTTATCATTCTCCCTGCCATGGTCCTCCAGCCCTGGGCACTGGGGCCTTCTGGGCTCATCACCAGTGTGAAAGATACATGCAAAGAAATCATTAAACATATCACATGTGTCATGCCATGTAAGTGCACAATACATACACAATATCAGACTCAGAATGGAAGCTCATATAAATTACTTTATCAAAACAGTGGTTTGTAGTCTCTCGGGCTGTGCTTTGCCACATGTATGTCAGAAGGGATATGTGGAGCTGCTTGGAGCTCTTTGTAATTTAAAAGAACATACTCCTAAACTCCTAAGGTGACTGTGCTGCTTCTGGTACTGAAGCTATCCCTGTTGTCTCTGCATAGTTTTGTATTTTTCTGCTTAAGTCCTTGACTCTGAATATGAGTCCATGTTTCGAGATATTGAAGTCCTTGTTTTAGTTGCTGTTAATAAGTGTTGATAGATGGGTAGACACTGCTGAACTCCCAGAATGGAATCCAAAACCCCTTGTATGCTTTCCACTACTATAAGTCAGGGAATATAAATGTCATTGGTGTCCTCTGTGCAATCTTGCCATTTCTCAAGCTGTAAACTCTTGAATAGTAATGCTGCTCTAGCAGGGGTTTGTTTGTTGGTTCACAGGAAAGCAAATGCAGGAAGGAAAGCTATACTGGACCTCTGGTCTCTAACTTTTGGTTAGTTTGGACCTTCCTGTTTACTGTATTGCTGTGGAAAGCAGAGTGTTATATCTTCTGTGCACTGTGTCTTCTGAGCACAGAAGACCTTCAAAAATTTGCCTCTTCATTTAGAAAGAATCTTTGAAGTAAAAGTCCTGGCTTTCTACAGCATCTTTATATATAAACTTGGGGTAAATATAGCTGTTTTCTTTGAGTGCCAGAGATAGTGGCTGTTTAGCTCCTTACTAATCCAAGCCTCAGCAAAACAGAAAGGAGACTTTGAAAGTTAGTTTCTGTTCTACAGCTAGGTTGGAAGTTTGTCTTTTGAGGTACTTTGCTCCAGTTGTGGCTCCAGTATATTCTACTGGCTGGAGCAATTCTATTCATTGAAAAGAAACCATGGAACAGAAATGTTTGTGTGTCTCCATGATATCACTTTGTGTGTAAAACCACTAAATACAGGATTATGGGGCCAAAGTGTGCACACAGGTCGGGCACACTACTGTGTGCTCACCAATAGCCCAAACACTGATGCCCTGCGTAGTTTAGAAGTATTTTTCTTAATGTTACAACATGTTGGGATCTGAAATCCAATGCTTGTAGGACAGTTTGATGTCATTTGCCTAAGGGTTTCTCTAGAAGAAATATGTGCATTGCTGTAGGAAGCAAAGGGTGTGATCTTTTAGTTTGTTCTCTGTATCCTGCTCATACTGGTTTTGAAACATTTGAATGATACTAATTTAGGAATAAAAGTAGTATCTTTGGTAAACTAATTATCTCAGCAAGGTGACTCAAATGTTTCCTTCAACTTTTTCTGGTCTTACCAATTTGAACAGCAACACAAAGATTGGCTATGTTAGTCTCTGCTAACCCAGAGTAACTAATATAGAGTGGAAGGTTTGACAAGGCTGTTCATTCTTCTCTTTTGCCCTAGAAAATGTAAATTTTTATTCAGTGATGCACACAGACTCTTTTGTGAAGAAATCAGTTTTCTAAGTGTAAAGGGACATAATTCAAGCACACATTTGAGTTCTAAAGCTCTCTTACACAGTATTAGAAAAGGTTTTTAGAGTATAAATAAATAAATATTTACTGGAATAGTTAGAGTTTCTAATAGTTTGGGACAAAAGGACAGATAATTTCATGGGCATTATTTCAGCTGTGGGACTGGTAGTTTCTTTAAAGGCAGGATAGTTAAGATCCTTTATTTGACAAGCTACATGAAAATATTTTTCTGCTTGACTGTGACTAAAGATATGTGCTGTGAGTTAGACATCTAAAGGGAAAAGATCCAGAGTAGCCCAAAAGCAGTTCCCAGGCAAGACATGGTAATGGCAGCCTAAGTTGTCAGGCATGGCAGGTCCTGCCATGCCTGTTTGCTTCCAGAGGGACTTATCAAGGTGTTTCCATTTTGCTCTACAGCCAGGAGTGTATTGGGTTACCTTACAGGTCTTACTTGAATGGCTTGTGACCTGTGTGCACATCAGGGTCTGGCATTTGATTTTGCTTCATTTACGCCTGTGATCCGAACAGGTCTTCAGATGCACGTTTGTACAAAAAGTTTCCTTTCCTCCCCATAGTAAATCCTGCCCTTTTTCTCTCATGCCTGAACTGCTAGAAGTCAAAAAGAGCATGGGCATCCACAGACCAGCCCTGTCCCTTAGGCTTATTTAGATATGTGGACCTTTTCATAAGATACTTAAAACTGTAATTCCACTGGTCACTTGGCAGAATGGCCAAGCTGGCCCCAGACACTGTATCATGAATCTATATACACTTGTCCACATAACACATATCCCTCTTCTTCCTATAGAGCTCTTTATTCTCACCTTAGAATCATAACCAGAGAGTCGTAAGGCTGGAAAACACCCTTAAGATCATCAAGTCCACCACTAAACTATTTACCTAAGCTCCATGTCTCCACATCTTTTAAGTACCTCCATGATGGGGGATCAACTGCTTCCCTGGGCAGCCTGTTCCAATGCTTGACCAACCTTTTGGTGAAAAAATTACTCTTAATACCCAGTCTAAATTTTCCCTGGCACAGCTTGATGCCATTTCCTCTTGCCTTGTGTTTTGTTACTTGGGAAAAGAGGCCAATCCCCACCTGGCTACAGCCTCCTTTCAGAGAGTTGTAGAGAGTGATGAGGTCACCCCTGAGCCTCTTTTTTCTCCAGGCTAAACACCCCCAGCTTCCTCAGTCACTCCTCATAGAACTTGTGCTCCAGACCCTTCACCTACTCCATTGCCCTTCTCTGGACACACTCCAGCACCTCAGTGTCTTTCTTGCAGAGAGGCATCCAGACCTGGACAGAGGATAGGAGGGGTGGCCTCACCAGTTCCAAGTACAGAGGGGTGATCACTGCCCTCCTCCTGCTGGCCACACTATTGCTGATACAGGCCAGGATGCCATTGGCCTTCTTGGCTGCCTGGGCACAGCTGGCTCAGCTGGCTGTCAACCACATTAACTACTTATCTTTTGACCTATATTCAAAACAAAATAAAAGTAAATTTTCTTTCTGTTTTTAAGAAAAACCTGTAGATTTAGATGCATTTTAGATACTTCATTTACAACTAAGATCCAAGGAATATTTTTTGTGATATCTGTTTATGTTTATATCATGCCATGTTTTCCACATTAGCAAGCAGAGGCATAAGGATTCATATTGACAGTATAATTGAAAATGCATTTCAGATGTTTCATCTCCTATCTTCTCTTTATAGGAGGTCTACCTTTCTTCAATAGTGCATTTGGTGGTTTGGACTGGCTTCCAAAAAACTACTTTGTACAAGTGGTACTTAAATAGTGTTCCAGAGGCTCCATTAGATAGAGAGCAGCTGAAGCTGCTCTCTGCTCTTTCAGTCTGTGAATAGAAGAGGTCTCTTCATGGAGGTAGAAATGTAGCAATGATAGATAAAATTTCTGCAATTTAAAAATAATATTCTACAAATAATAGTTCTGTTCAGTGTAATGCAGGCCAAGATAAAGCTGTTTGTCAAAATTCTTGGTTTATTTTGGGTAATAGTGTATATGTATTATCCAGATCCAGCTTGCAGGACTCTATTATACAAAGTATTCCTGAAGAGGGGACTTTAATAATGGAAGAAATTGAATATTTTTATTGATGATTAAGATTCAGATAAGTCCTTATTAAGATAAGTCCTTAGCGTACTGCATAGGGGAAAAGGACACTAAAAACTATGTATTAAAAGCCCTTGCACTTGGAAGTAAGCAATCTATTAGGAAAGAAGCTTGGAAGGAAATTAATCTTTTGACAGGCAGCTTATATCATTGGAGGCTTCCTTACCTCTGAATTGCTGATATACCAGGGCTCCAATCTGATTTGGAAGTTTCTGATTTCCTAGAAGCATTGGGTCAGATGTTCAGTGTCTTCATTATAGATAAATTGAAAGAAATCTCACCTAGGTAAGGCACTTCCATTAAGCAAGTGTCAGGTACAAAGGAGAACTTAATTTATGTTTGAATTTTGTTATGGGCAACTTGATCTTTACTGTGCCATACCAATTTGTTTATGGAGAGAGTTCAGCTTTTAAGAAACTTTGGATATGTAATGCAGAGCTGTTATTTCTCAGCCAACTTCCCAACTTTTTCAGTTCAGGTTATTTTTGTTTCTGTCCGTGAAATCTATAGACAAGTTGTATTTTGAATACACACAGACAAAAAACTCCTGCAAACACAGGAATATTTTCTTTCTATCATAAATGTTATGTTATGCAATGTTCATGCATTAAAAATGATCAAGAAAAACATGGTGGAATAGTAGGGGGAGGGGGGCTTCACAGTATTTTGTGTCCTCTTTTACACTACATTGTGAATTAGTGTTCTCCATTCAAATACTCAAACTTTGGAAAACCCAAAGCTAGATGGAGAGCGTCATTGTATTTTACTGACAGCTGTGTTGGGCTTGATTTACCGCATTACAGGAGGAACTATAGCAAAGCTTTGTGGTAATGACATGAGGAGGTGCAGAATTAGCACCTGTATCAGTTTTAATGCTGTTTGCAAAGAATATTAGTGTTTTTTTAAATTTGTTTTCTGTACCAATATTTTTTTTACTTTTCTACAGGATCCAGTCTGTGTAGCTATGAACTACAGCCATCAGAATATACAACAGACCCAAGGGCTGCCAAGTTATGTCCTAAATATCCTGTTCCAGAGAGGTAATATGATCAAGTTGTCTGATTTGGGGTGGAGGGAGCAGAGATTTGTTTTGATCATGAAAGTTCTTTAGAAAATACCAACACATGTTCACTCTTACCAGATAGATGTTTTAGTGTATTATTGTATATATTTCTAAAATTCAATTTTTAAAAGGTAGTGAAAATAATAGTCAAAGAAAAACCAAAATTATCTGTGTATGTGTTACTGAAACTAATTATCTTCGAATTCTCTTGTCTCATGTGACTGACACTCTTCTAAGTATCAGCTGTTGTACTGCCTTTCACCCTATCTATAGCCAACTGCCTATCAGCAATGCAATTTGAGACAATCATGGAACATTTTTAATCTTTGGGAGAAAAAAATATGTAGGGATGCACAGCTCTCTGCAGCATTCACTTCTTATACCTTACCTCAGTCAGATGTAAATTGCTTCAGTTTTTACTCTTTCAGTCTGCAAATAACCAATATAAGGATAGTTCAATACCAAAAAGAGGGCTGTATTTTATTAATAGATCATTTTGAGGTTTATTTTTTTAAGTGTTACATTAGACTGCTGTTTGTGAAATAGGATTGGAAAGTTCATAGCTTCATGAACTCTTGTAGCTGTGCTGCCTAGACCTGCGGAGATGAGCATTGCTGAGGAAAGAAGTGATGTGTTAGTGTTGTTTGCAGCCTTATGTCAGTAATTGCACTAACTCAAGAAGAACCATGTTGTGTTTTCTCAAAATTTAGCTTCTCACATATACTCAGTAGTGAGTGATAACTGCAGAGTCTTTTCTTATGCATAGTTTTCTGTTACATTTTTTGTACTAACAAACTTGTTCTATATTTGTTCTAACAAACTTGTTCTACAAACAAGTTCTACAAACTCTGATTTCAAGTCTTTCTTGTATACGTGGTAGCCTCTCCACTGAATCATTTTTTTTTTAATATTATAGTGACAAATAGTGGCAGCTGGAATATTAGCTTTTTTAAAAAATTTCCCAATATAGATTTATATTCCAGCTAGCCAGCTGTTACTGCCATAATACAAAAACAAATGAAAAGTTCAGTGCCAGCTTGCATACTGAAAAGGCTTGTTAGTTCTAATTTTTGCCAGAATTATATTGACTTCTCATAGTGTGTTCTAACATCATTCAGTCTCAATAAATATAGCTTAGTAAGAAAACAGGATAGAATAATGTATCAGAGCTCTAATGATGTTATGTAAATTCCTCATAAAAATGACCTCATGTTATTTTAAATAAACTATTGTGTAGGTGTAGTATTTTCCCTTTTTGATATGGATACATTTGAGCATTTTTGAGCTTGAAAAGTATGAACTTAATGCCCTAAGGCAAAAAAGGCCAACATTGTATCTGTAAACAACTGGTTTTCAGGTTTTTATAGTTAAATTATTTGAGTAAGTGTAATTTGAAGGAGAAGTCTAATCCTGTTGAGACAATCAAATGAAAACCCAACATCTTATAGACTGAGGTATTCAGGAAGAACTTACCTAACAGTCACATTTGATCTGTGTCATGGTTTAACGCCATCCAGCAACCCAGACCCCCATAGACACTTGTTCATTTCCCCATGAGCAGGACTGGGGAGAGAGAACTGGAAGGGTAAAAGGTAAAAAGCTTGTGGGTTGATATAAAGATGGTTTAATAAGGGAAGGAAAGCTGCACACACAAGCAAAGCAAAACAATGAATTAATTAATCACTTCCCATGGGCAGGCAGGTGTTCAGCCATTCCAGGAGAGCAGGGCCCCATCACATGCAACGGTTATTTGGGAAGACAAACCATCATTTCAAAACTTCCTCTTCTTTCCCCCTGTTTATATTCTACAGATGATGCCATGTTTGGATGTTTGGAATATCCCTTTGGTCAGTTTGGGTCACCTGTCCTGGCTGTGTCTCCTCCCAGCCTCCCATACACTCACAATGTCCTTGCTAGCATCACAGTGAAAAAGCACAAAAGGCCTTGGCTGTGTGTAAGCCCTGCTCAGCAATAACAAAAATATCTCTCCATTATCAACCCTGTGTTCAACACAAATCCAAAACAAGCTCCATACCAGCCACTGTGAAGGAAACTAACCCTACCCCAGCTGAAACCAGTGCAATCTGTCAAGGCTTATGAACCCTCTGATTCCCATTAGTTCCATGGGATGGAGGTAGCATATGGTGATGGGTAGCATATGAAGATTGTCCCTTGATGTTTTCTGTTTGATGACCAGGCTTCTTCACAGCCTTCAGCTGAGGCTGTCAATGGACTCTTACCATCCATCTTCAAGGTATTATGTCCAACTTTGACAGAGTAGTACAGTCTAGCAGTGCAGTCAGCAATATGTATTTCTTCCACACCCAGCCTAGATCAGCTTCTGTAGACATGACTGCAGAATGAGGACCCTGGAGGAAAACTTGTCCAGTTCCCTGCAGCATTTATCTATAAATCAGCTGTGCTGAGCTGTGCCAAGGGATTGCCCTGTAGAGGTTATAAAGAGCAGCTAGCAGTGTTATTCCAATTGGAATCCCCCTCCTCTCGCACAGGTTGCTGTACTACCCCTGTACATACACACGGGTAATAGCAAGAGGAAAAAATTCTTTGCAATCTAATACTTGCAATCTAATCTCCTGACTTCATTTGAATGCTTTAAAAGTACAGCTGCTGAGACCATCATCTACTGGCTTCAACTCTGTTCGTTCTTGTTTATGATTAAGCATCATGTTGTTATTCTTAGAAATATTTCCTTTTCAGTAGGTAATATACCAAGATATAATCAAGAGTTCATATAAAATAGCACAGGTCATAGAGAATAGATCTATTATTGTGTTTTTTACTGGGGCACTTTACCTCACCTACTCATTCAGTCAGAACCACTGGAGCAGAAGCAGAACTCAAAAGTGGATTCTCAGGAGTCCCATTTACTCAAGAAAGCTTGTAAGAACTACTAACCTATTTTTTTAATTAATTAAAACAAACTTAGCAATTAATTACTGCACGTGAAAATAGTTAACTTAAAATAGTGAAATTGCTTTAGGTTAAGAGATATTAGATGACTAATATAAACTCTGATGCAAAAAGCATGTTTTCTTTCATTGGGATATATTTTGGAAGAATACTTTAATCCCATTAGTTCCCTTTTCAAAGTGAATATTTTTGTATTTGGATGCACAAATAACATTATTTTGCCTACTCCCACCTCAAAATTTGGGCTTTGTTGCTGGTAGCGACAACTTACAAATGCTCTAAGTTTTCTGAAAAGTTGTTGCAGTTAACAATTAAATAAACCTCTCAAATGTCAGTCTTTTTCACTACTATGGCATATAATAAACAGCCATATTCCAAAATAGGTTATGTTTTAAGAAGCTAAGAAGATACATGGGCTGCCTTTTAAGTAGGGCAGCCATCATTATGGGTTTGTTTTTTAATAACTGTGACTAATGCACAATTACTTTGCTGTGCTTAACTGCTGTATTCATTCCTACCCAAAAGAAGACCATCAATATGAGCATCTCCAAATGTGTTTACCTACTCAGCACAGTAATCCTATAAAATTTGCAATCATCAGTGACTTTAAACAAAAACCTAGGATTAACTAATTAATTACCTAGAAATGGCAGGTGATCATAATTTCTCCCAATTTCCTTACAGAATAGTTACACTTTAATGATTTTCAGTGTGTCATCCTTTTTCCCCAGAAAAACAATGGATGGGAAATATGTGCCTAAGGCAGCTGGTTTATTCACTATGTGTTTAAAATGGTGGCTAGAATTTTGGAAAGACATAGCTTTAAAAATAGTTCTTGAGGACAGAAAATGGTTGATTTAAAGGTCATTGCTGAAATGGAGAAACTGCAGAAGATTATATTCATTGCTGGTATAGTCCCAAAATTTTTCAAGTAAGGAAGATTGGGCAGGTAAAACAATAGAAAAGATTTTTTTTTCATTGGATCCAATTACAAGAAGGAACATGTAATTCATGTCTGAAATGTAATTGGGAATTGATCAAATGATGTAATAGGCTACTTTGAGATCTGACATAGTTTATGACCAAGGCAGATGGCTACTAAATGGGAGACATTTAGAAAACAAAATTACCCACTTTTAAAGGAAAGTTTTTGCTCTCTTGTGTCTTTCTCTTGATAGCAGGTTTTTCATAGCATTCTGCAAAGTTTAGTGCATAGTCTTAATAGTTTTTTGTGAGGGCCTTTCCAAAACAGTTCAAAACAATAGAGGCATCCTGGCATGTTTTGCATAGTTCTAACAAAGTTGATGAATATAAACACTGTGATTGTAATATTCAGTACAAGAACTAGCTTAGTATGGGGAAAGACTAAGAATAAATGCATTCATTTTGCTTGGCAGCAGTTGTGAATGCTGATGTCCTTTACTACAAAATATATACTCTCAAGAAGAGTATTGTTATTTTGCAATTTCTTTTGCTGCAAGTATGGACCAGTATTCCATTTTAAAATGAGTGAAAGGCATTGTTTCAGCTGCTGGTTCACCAGCTGACACTTGAAAGAAAGACATTTAAGTGGAAGTAGGAACATATACTTTCTGCGCCTTGTCATTTAAGGGTGGGAGGGTAATAATATCCTATTGGAATGTACATTCCAGTCTCATAGGGTTGTTTGTAAGAACTGCATCACTTTTCATTATGATCATCCTCATTTCAGCAGCACTTGTGCATTCAACACATGGTTTCTGGTTATGATGTTATAAGGGTAGAATGATTGCATCTATTCACCTTTCATTTGTGTGTTGATGTGGCATTTATATTAAGTAGGAGTAATTTTTTTTTCTGATTTTTTTTTCTTGTGTCACCAGTGCACCTATTCCATTCTTCCATCGCTGTGCTCCTGTGAACATTTCCTGCTATGCCAAGTTTGCAGAGGCCCTGATCACCTTTGTCAGTGACAGTAGTGTCTTACACAGGCTGATTAGTGGAGTTATGACCAGCAAAGAGATTATAATGGGACTTTGCTTGTTATCACTAGGTAATTGTTTTTCTCATTACTAGCTATTTCTTAGTGTACTCCATTAGGAGGTTGCTAACACACTCTAACCACATTATGAGCAAAAACCCTGTATAATAGCAACAATCCCTTAGAAAATTATTCAGAATGCTTTTTAAAAATTTTATTTGGGAGCTGGGTAACTTATTCATAAGTAATATACTGGTTTTGTTTCTCTTGTTTCTATGAGATAGAGGATGCGTGGCTGTTAATTAGCCAACATTAATTTTGATATAGTTAAGAGAACATCCGTCTTTTCTTAATTTTTTTATAGTATTCCCCTTTCCCATTTGTAGTAGTCATCTTCTACCAACTCAAGTCCAAATAAACCCTTTCCAAATCAAAAGGACAGGTTGAGAAATGCAAAGTAGTACACTCTGGTTGGATGTAGGGGATTTAATTTGTTTCATTTAACATACTTGCACAAAGATATGAGAACTTTAAGAGTGAAAACAAGAAAATCAGGTGCCCATTTGTTGCACTGTATGTTACCTCCTTCTTCCCCTTCCTTCAAAATTAAAAGCTTCAGGTCTTTGAAAATCTCAGCCTTTTCTGAAGAGCTGGAAATTCCCAACAGTACAGAGGTGCTGAATTTTTTCTATAGCTGCGAGATGCCTCTAGCCTATCAAGTGACACTTTGCGCTGCACTGAAGAGCTGCTTTAACAAAGTCATCTTGTTTGAGGTGGAATGTTGCCCACCGACATAAATTGCTTTCCTAGCGAGTCTATTTTACTCATACAAAGTATAAAATCTGAAATCCTAAAATGGGAGTATCATGATATTAGCTATGCATATGAGGGTGTATTACTTAGAAAGAAACACTGCAAAGCTGTATCAGATATAGGGATCCTTTGTTTTCAGTTTCCTTTTGTGGTTAAAAAAAAGGGTGGGGGAGAAGGAAGGGAAAAGGAAAGGAAAAAGAAGAGGATGCTAGATACGATTAACTCCCTCTACATACACACAAAAGACCACTGTGTATTTTTTTCAACTGTAGCTTGAAAGCTGTTTATTTTTACATCTTGACAACTTCAGTATTTGGTAATAATGGTAGAAAACTATTCGAAATCTGAAAGCTAGTGGCTGATTCACAGTCCTACTGTTCAGTTAGAGTCAGAAGTTAGTACAGAATTTACATATAGTTAATTTAAAAATAGTTTTTTTAATTTTGTAGTTAAACAGAAATTTTTTGTTTTAAAACAGTGGGTTAGACTGTGATTCAAAAAGCCAGATTCCAGTGACTTGCATGTAACTGCTGAACACAAACATGTGTATGTTAAAATACAAATATGTACTTGTACACACTACTCACTTAGCCTTAGCTGCTGTATAGTTTTTTACTTATGACTGGCATGACATTTCAGAATACACAGATATCATATTAACTGCACTGGTTTGACATGTGTATTTGAGTACAGACTCTGCCCTGGTCCTCAGGAGGTGTGCTCATGTTACCAGACTCAAAGTACTGTCATGCCTTGCTATCTGTTTGGTCATTGTCCAAGTACATCTCTGTCTGTATGCATGCATTATGTCTTGTGTTTGATGTACCGTGTAAATGTATTTATGCTCTCTTTGTTTTAATCAACATTATCAAAGCAGAAGTTGTAGAGGTGCCTAATTTTCTTAACTATCTATTCGGTGAGTTTGTAAGCCTCAAAAAAGAAATCTGCTGTAAAAATTCTATTGGAAGACAGTTCCCTTAGTACAGTGGGAAAATTAGGAAGGCTATATATACTCGAAGTAAATAGTCTGCTTATTTTATTTGTCTTCTTTTGCAGTGTTGTCCATGATTTTGATGGTTATAATAAGGTACATTTCAAGAGTACTTGTCTGGATTTTAACAATTCTTGTCATTCTGGGATCGCTTGGTAAGTCTTGTTTGTTTCCCACTTTGAGGGCCCAGTTCTAATCCTTGTGCTCCATTTCCTCAGCCCGGCTACAATCCACACACATCTTGGATCATGCCTTTCCCTTCAGCCTTTTTTTTGGGTCCCTTTCCAGATGCACATTCAAAATGCCACCTTAGTAATTGCAGATCTCTCTAAGAGAGTACATTGCTCCTTGGATATTTGCACACCCTGCTTGGCAGTCAGTCTTCATGTCAGCCTAGCTCACTAGACCCCACAGGTGACAGTGCAGGAGATTCCTCACAGCACTTGTAGCGCAACCCTAAATGTTGCCTACTTCTTTACCTGCCTTCCAAACAGGTCAGCAAGGCAGCTAAGCCTGGGTGTGTCTGGTGGTACTCCCATGCCTCAGCTGGTGCATGAAGAAATCAAAGGGCAACTCTTGCTCATGCAGCTGAATATATTTACAACTCTGACATGTTCATCAGCCCTTCAGTTCTTTGAGTAGCTCTTTAAGATCTGTTCTTGAAGAGAGGAAGTAAAGGTGCTTCTCCAGCAATTCTAATTAAATTATTGTATTTCTATATGACTCAGGAACACCTGCATGACCCAGATCATATGTGAAATGCCACCAGTCAAGCTATCTTGGAAATGAACAAAGGTTGTCTCTTCACTTGTGTGAAAATAGCCTTATTTTGTCACACTAGCTTTTAAACTCATAAAACAAAAGTTTTCTACACTTATTACTGAGTAGCTAAGCCAAAATGTCTGGGCAGATGACTGCATAGAAAGAAAAAAATAGAATAATCACATTAGGAAGCACTAATGATTTAATTCTCGTAATTCAAGACTGCAATGGATGGAAAAAATCAGCAGACCATCTATATTTTTTCAGGATCACTTTGGTTTTCTGATTAATGGCCTCACAATCTATGACCAGGGAAAAGGAAAAATATGGAGGTTTTTTTTCATTTATATTCTCTTTAGTAGCTGAGCAACCATGTTGAGTGAAACAGTTGAATAACTTATCTTACTGGCATCTCTTACTAGGTTCTAAAAAGTTTCATCCATTATAATAATGGATTGAATAAAACCCCATCTTTTATGACACATACTGCTTCTTCTGTCTTGACTTTTTGTTTAGGAGGTGTCAAAAGAGCATTCTTCATTTTAGACCTAAACAAAGTATGACCAGCAAAAGCATGGCAATCACAGAATCACAGAATGGGTGAGGTTGGAAGGGACCACAGAGGCTCATCTGGTCCAACCTCCCTACTCAGCTTTATGCATTTGATTCAGAAATACCAGCAGAACAGAGAAGGACAATTATAAGAGAAAAGAAATGTACCAGAGAGGAGAGGTTATCTCCCTGAGGGGCTGGAGATCTGTGTTCAAGCAAAGTTCTACCTTGGAAAAGCAGCTAGAATAGGAGAATTTTTTTCTGGCCATAAGGCTAGGATTAACATAACAGGGGTGAGAAGATAATACCTCACATTGTATTTGCCTCCTGTGCCTTTTACTAATGTTTTTTTCTAGTGTCCAAGACATTGTCTGAGGCATGTTTAGCTACATATCATTAAGGTGCTGTTTCCAGCATCAGGCTGATGCTTGTTGTTTATAGTCTTCCCAGGAACAGTAGACTCCTTGTTTTGTTGTTATTTCACATCCTAATCGAAAGGTCTGTCTCTGTTTTTCCTCCTAAATTCTTACTCCCTGCATTATTGCACACACCCATACATTCATACATACAGCCTACCACAGAACTATTTATTCTTCCTTTTGTTCTTTTATTACCTGTCTAGTTGGAGCTGTGCTGTTCACTGTTAGGGCTTTCCATGAAGTAGTTCTTCAATGCAATTTACCCTAAAACACAGAGTCAAGGTTCTGCAAGTCTCTTAGGTGGTCATAGTATGGTGAGACTGTGAAAAGAATATATTCACTTGAGAAGAAGGCAACAGGGGAGAACTAGGTACTTCTCCCTCCTCTCAAGTTCCTGTTGGGTTGAGCATCAGTGCTTTTGAGTATTCAGTACCAGACTAGACTTAAAAGGAAAGAACTGCTTTATTTCTCTGGGACTAGGTGGTATATATCACACAGAGGATTAATTTATTTATCCTTCTTGTTTTCTCACTAAAACATAGGTGGTACTGGAGTCCTGTGGTGGCTCTATGCTAAACAACGAATGTCTGCTGGTGCTCTTGAGACCCAAATAGCCAAAGACAATCTTCAGGCTCTCTTGATCTATGCCATTGCAGCTACAGTCTTCACGGTATGCTTTGCTAATGATGGTATTATTTTCTGCTCTTGTCTTCCTGTTAATCTCTATTTTTTATTCAGGTGAAAGCATTGTATTGCACACATTTTGGAACAGTTTATTTCTGCCACAATTTCTGTTGAAGTGATTTTCTTTCATTGTGTTATTTTTTTAACTTTTAGGAATTGTTCTCTAACACCTGATTATGAGTCAGGGGAGACTTTCTAGGAGCTGTTCTCTATTATCTGATTTTAAGTCAGGAGAGACTTTCTAAGCCTGCAGCTACTTTCATCTACTGTAAAATATCCACAGGGACTTCCAAGAATAGGTATGATACTGGACTGCCAATCCAAAGAGATTTTTCTTAGGTTCTCAGTTCAGAGGTACTTAGTCATTTCAGTGTATTTAAAAGTCCTTAGCCTACTTCTGAAAGAAGTTGTTCTTAAATCATTATGAATTGAAATACTAACACCATTTTAACCAATTTATCTTCTTTGGCCTTGCTGTTAATTTCAGTCACTGAATTTACTATCAGAAACTGACAATGTTTGACTAACTTCACAGGAATTGTAGACTCCCTCTTCTGTTCTTGTTTCTTCACATCCTAATCCAAAAGTTCCTCTCTGTTCCCTCTCCTAGATTCTCACTCCTATATTATACACATATATATGTACATCCTATAAGACCACCACGCCATGGTCAGATATAAATTTTGAATTACCTTTCTTAAAGGTAATTAAAAGTTAAAACTGGCTGATTTCACTGCTTTGTAAAACATAATTGAGGATAGAACCTGGTCTTGTCTCATCAGCCTAAAGCTATGATGATTCCAAATACATACTTATGAGAATGGAATTCACCAAAAGTATAATTTGGAAAATAATTTATTACCAGAAGAAGCTGATAGAGGTTTTACATTTTGATCTTGTGATTTTATAGATAGAGTATGTGTTAATTTAGTGTGTTTGAATATCCTAGCTGTGTGAAAGAGTATCTTGATTCTGTTTCAGTACTCTAAAATGTGATTTGGAAACTTCCCCCTCCAGGTTATCTTGTTCTTGATCATGTTAATTATGCGCAAAAGAGTAGCTCTCACCATTGCCTTGTTCCACGTGGCTGGCAAGGTCTTCATTCACCTGCCACTGTTAGTCTTCCAGCCATTTTGGACATTCTTTGTGCTTATCCTCTTCTGGACATACTGGATCACTGTCTTGCTTTTTCTTGGTACTACAGGTAAGCAGTCACTTACTTTAAATAATTTTCATTTCATTGTTGTATGATTTGTAGCAGAGTTGACGAAAAAGCCTGTGGGAATCTCAAAGAAAAAAGCCCACTTGTTGTGCTTCTATTCCTGTCTGCTTCACTGCCTTCAGGTTATTGTGCATTTGAGTCTTAATTCCCAGCATGGTACTTTGTGTGTTTGGCTGGCTTTTTGATTTGATGCAAGTTGGCTTGCTGCAAACCATGAGACGCTAATAATAAAACTGCTGTAGCAATTTTTCAAATAATTCCCTCTAATTTTCTAAGTTAAAGACAGCATAAACTTGGAGTCGCTAAGTATTGTACTCACACAGATGAATACACAGTAAGAGAAGGGCCATTGCACACAATACTGTCTCCCACAATGTAAATATTGTGATTTTAGTTTTCAGTTGTTTGTAACTTAGGTGTCCAGTATTATTCCAGAATCAATAGGGAGATTTTTCTGCTGCTTGTGTATTGTATTCTGAGAGCAGCCAATGTACTGCTAATTCTTGCCTGCTCTTCAGTATGTAGAAGGTGAAATCTTTGTTTGTATTCAGGGTCTGACAAGAGCTTCTAGAATTAATCAACCCCATAGGTCCAAATCTTAGTTACTTCAGCAAAAAAAACCACCACAGCAGATGCTTTTTAAACAGTCTGTTATTTTGCTGTACATTGTAGGCAACAGACTGTCATTCATTATTAAATGTCTTAAAATTTTGAAACATGTTGTTTGCTACTGACCCAAAAGTAGCAGTGTTTCAAGTCACAAGGCTATTTCATAGTAATACAAGATAAATATTTTCCATATCATGAGTTCTTAGCAAAGGTGTGAGGCAATAGAATTCATATGTTCCTGTTCTCATTACTGATGGAATTTTTAGTTTTCATTGCATGCTGTGCTATGTGCAGAAAATGGTCACCACTGAAAGTCTCAGCCCTGTGCTTCCTTTTCTGAGGCAGACCACTGCACAGGCACTTAATTTGTAGGAGAATGTAGTCTGATATTATAGTTAACTGACAGAGCCCTTCAAACTGCCTTGATTTTGCAAAAACTATTTTATCTTTTTTGCTTATATCAGTATCATCACTATTATCAGTTAAATAAACTGTTTCTGCAAATAAGGCCAAATCCTTGTTCACCAAAATCAGAATTATTTCCATAGTTAACTTATTGACAAGAAAACATTCATTTTATATGTAAGTATAAAAACATAACTAAGAATGTGGGTAAGGTGCTGTCAGTGCTAAGTCATAACAATGCTTTTCAAGGTAAGCACTTTATACACACTTCCTTGCAGTGTTTTTCTGAATCTCATCAGCTGTTCATGTAGATGTTGTGTAAGGGGAAACATCGCACTGTGCATTAACACATTGAAATAAAGCTTATCTTAGCTCTGACATGCTGTCAGTTTCTGTACATTATATTGATATTTATATTAGACAAAGAGTTGATGCATTTTTGAATGTATGAAATGACTTATTTAGAATTTCTAAGGCTGCTCCATATGTCTGCTACTAGCTTTAAAGCTACAAGAGCTTACCATAGGGAAAACAAAAGTGATTGTTAATGTTGACATCTAGATGTAAGGAGCTGATACTGATTCCTGCTGTATGAAAAATATTGATAAGGCAGCAAACTCAAATTAGAAATGACTGAAGTAGACTTCCCTTATGTTTAACTATGTGATTTTTTGCTATGAGATGGTGGTTAGTTGTGGAATTTTTTAGTGTATTTTTTTCAAATACCATTATACTTATTGTAAATGTGGTAATTGTAAATTTAAAACTATGAGTAGAAACTAGAGAGGTTTCTGCTGAAACTGGTTATGAGCTGCTAATACCATATGCTTCCTTCATTATGAGTTTATGTAAGCATCATTTTGCTTTTTACCCTCATTCATTTCTAGGTAGTCCTGTCCCAAATGAGGAAGGATTTGTTGAATTTCGGATGGCAGGTCCTTTAAAATACATGTGGTGGTACCACGTAGTGGGACTCATCTGGATCAGTGAGTTTATCCTGGCCTGTCAACAGATGACAGTAGCAGGGGCTGTTGTAACATACTATTTTACAAGGTAAGGTTAACCTAGATAGCTCTATCATGAGTAGCCTACACATTGACTTAGCAGAAATAATGAGCAGCAGGGTTTCTGGGGAGAATATTTGTGTCCTTTGAGCAAGCGGGGGAACAGTTAAATTGCCTTGACCCTTTTTAAATAATGTAAAGTCCTGAACTATCTGTTTTGCCATTTATAGATGGTATTCTTGACATATAAGACTTGAAGTATTATTTGCCTTATAACTTGTGCACATTCTACAGGTATGGGTGGTTGTTTACAAAGTAGGATGAGTCTGGAAGGTCATCTGTTTTGCTAAATAATTAATGCTGGGTAAGATCTATAGTAGAGGTTAAAAAATAATGAAAGCAATTGATTATTATTTTAATTGCAAAACAGTGCCCTTAAAATTATTTACAGTGCTTCACAAATCTTCATTAATCTTTCCTTCACAGGATTACTTAAGATCTTATTAGATTAATCATTTATATATAGATCCTGACAAGATCATATAGAAATTAATGTAAAATGTTAAAGCTCCATATTTTATTGCTGTACTTGTGAGCTAAATTGTGTATCAGTTTTTTGAATAATGTATGCAGGTATTTTTCAAGTGCATGATTCAGATCACAAATGTTTAATTGCTTTGTCTTTTTCATTGAGGCCGTTATCTGAACTACATTTGACTTCTTTTCTGCCCTACTCTTTAAAATAATATCAAAAGCAAGGAATCAATTTATTGTGCTGTCAAAAGTTTTGTTATTTTATTAATGATTTAGTTCTCCACTATACCAATCAAATACATCTATGAGGTTATTACAAGATGTTACAGGGCTGTAATCTTGTGAATAATTAAACTAGATTGAGTACGGAATGAGGAAAATACAGAGGAAGGAGAATAACTCTGCACTGAAATAGATTGCTTAGCAATGTGTATGCTTCATCTGTAAGTTTATGTATTTCCTGTGACCTGAGGGTGAATGATTTTTATTTCATTCATACCCTATAATTCCATAACAGCAATTTTATTTTAAGTTAGTAAATACTCATTTCTCTCTGTTATCTTCTTTTTGCATTTTAAGGTACAACCGTAATTTGAAAAGTGACTTGTAAAAACAGAAAAGGCATTAATTTGCACTTACCCATTATTTTGCATATAAACAGCTTTCCAAATCAAATGAGATGAGGTTATCCATGGAGAAATGTTTTATACGTGTTCACTGCTCATTCACTTTACCCGGATGGATTCCTTTCAACTCAGGCAATAACAGGCCTCAAAGTGTTTTGCATTACAGACTTTGCCCTGAAAATGAGGAAGTGTTTGGTTTGCCTGGGCATAAGACTCAAGCAATTCATGTGATTGTGCCTAACACGGAGTAAAATTTGTCTTCCCCTAAAAGCTGATTGGAATAAAATACAGGGTAAACCTACTTTAATCATTAACATCTGAGGATTACATTATGCAGATATTAGTTTCATGGAATGAAGAATCTACTTTTGTTTTCTTTTCTGAGTGAAATTCTCATCTCTTCCAAGCTGGGGAGATCCTTTATTTTTTGAATGTTATCACATGTTTCTTAATATGCTTATTATCATGCTTTTATTTCAAATAAAGAAGAAGAGACATTCTTTAAATGTTTAATTAGTGCTATCCTTTGAGAGAGATGTATAAATGAGTTTCTTGTTAGAAAAGAATAATGGCTTGAAACTGTGAACGTGAGTATTTTTCTGATAAATTAAAAATATTATAACTACAGTGCATAAAATAACTTGTTTTAAGGCTCAACCCTTGGTACCTTGAGGATATAACAGCTAAATCAGAAATTAAATAAATTTGAGCAAAGAGTTTACCTGATCAATTAGTAATATCCACTCCAAAGTCTATACAAAGATTTCCAAAAGAACAAGAGAGGAGAAGGCAAGTTTATCAGTAGTCTGACTAAAAAAGTACTAGCACAGTTTCCTACTGTTTTGGAAGGTTTTGAATTGCACACCATCTGATGCAACTTTAAGGGAATTCCCAGTTCTTAATAGTGGTAATGCAGCCAACTGCTAGTAAGACTGCCTGAAAACAATGAGTGTTTCCAGTTGCTTGGAGAATCACTGGCCAAGGTATTGGCAAAAGCTGGTTAATATAGAAGTTAATGTGTGACAGAGTTCATTGACAAGATTCACTCTACTACTTAGTAGATGATTAAAGCACACTTTAAAAAGGAAAAGTAGGACTAAAATCAGTTAATCTAAGACTAAACCTAAAATTATATGGAAGCTGGGGATGATAAAAGCTAAGGATAAGAAAGGATAAGGATAAAAAGAAATGAGGGAGACCCTCTTATTGAATCACAAAGTTAAGAGTAGGCCATCTTGCCACTCTTAGCCCCAGACTTCACCAACAGTTTAGGCCTAAACAGTTAAACAGCACCTAAACTTAGTATCACTTAATCAATAGTGTAATTTAATGAATTTAGTGAAAGAGTGTATAGAATTTACTATGAGCACAGCAGTGACTCAGTTACTTAGACCTGATTTACTTACCCATGTAACATTCACAGTACTTTCTGTGTAACATTCACATTTGCTGTAGCACATTCACACTCACATGTGTAGGTACAAGGTATAGACCCGTAAAAATTCCTCTCAAGTTCAGTGAAGCACTCAGGTCAGATGCCTCTACACCTTCTCAAAAGGTGAAGGGTTGAGGCTTGAGAAGTGGGATGTCAGCCCAGGCTCTGTCAGCAGCATTTGATATTGGTCCTCTGAATATCACAAATTTAAGTGTTGGCTCAGTGGCTCAGAGAGGTCCCACTCAGAAGGAGGTGCTGGTCATAGCCCACTGTGGTCCAGGAGTTTACGGGGTTGCAAGAGAATTGGCTTTAGTCAGTAATTTTCCATCCTGTCCACAATTCAGGTCTGTAACTTTCTTTGAAAGGTCAGTAACAGAAATGGCTGTTCTACCTAGGTTGATATTTGGGCACAAAAAATAAGTTTACAAGGCTGTTAATTTAAAAACAGGAGCTTGATAGACAGGACAAGTTCCTGGGAGCAGACTGTGTTTCTGATAAGTTTGTGGAGCTGAGCCTAGGTGCTGTTTGTCAAGACAGGAGCCTAACAAGAATTTCTTAGATTGTAATGCAGCCCAAGATGGGAAGGGAAAAAGGGGATGCATCACCACACTACTCATATGTGTTACAAATCAATTTAAACAGAGAACAGCAAAGAAAACTAAGTCTTTGTGAATAAAATGGATTGAACACAGAAAGGTTCAAAATATACTCCAAAACTTGATTAAAACCAAAGGAGGTTAGATGTTGGTGCCAGAAAAACCAAAAAAAGTTTATATATTTTATTTAATAGTAAAAGAGACAAAGGGAAAGAAAGAGAAAAGAAAGGAATATGTAGAAAAAGAGCAGGGAGGGGAACAGGGAGAGGGACAGGGGTTAGGTAGAACCATACCATCCTTCCAAGGGTCTCCCGCACCCCAAAAAGTACAGAATCCAATGGATCCATGTATATTTGGGCCGGGTAGGAATGCTTAGAGGGCAAGTTTGACACTGTCCTTGCAACACTGGGGATCTGTTACATCATGTTGCAGTGCTCCAGTGCAACATCTGGGGGCCCCTTGTCCCCACAGCTTTTGATGGGCCATGACAATCCGTCTGCTGTCGTTCGCGTGGACGTCCTGTAGATGTGGCTTTCCCAGGTGAAGAGGTGACTGCCCCTGGGCAGGTCTGCCCTACAGAGTATGGGCATTCACTGCCTCTTACCAGTGGCTTTTTCACCACACACCCAAAACCTGTCCTTCCCACCCCCACCCTTTAGTGTGAGGGCCTATGCAAGTCTGGCAGCTGATAGCCCTGGGGCTGTGGTCTCCACCCCAAAGGTGTGAGGCTCAACTGTCCTGTGAGTGTTTTTATTTTTTTTTCCCAGCCCAGAATTGAGTCACTTTCTCTGATCTCCATCAACTTGCAGTCCAGAGCTTCTGTCAGGAGACTCATTCAGCGTGTGATGGTCTTCCATGCAGCTTTTGTTATAAAGTTTTGCTATAATAGGCAGAAGTTCTTCATAAAAATGCTTAAGCCATAAACAATAACATTGCAGTCCCCAACAGTATGACATACCAATTCCTAATCCTTGTCCTGCATTAGAGACAAATTTGTAAAGTTACACAGATTGTCAGGGTGGAGTGAGCAATATATCCTGAAAGCTAGTATGAGGATAATATATTCCTTTTGTACATTATTTTATTGAGAATTTGTAGCACTTCTTAAATACTGATCATTCTACTTAATTTTTTTTTCTCTTTTCAACAGGGAGAAAAGAAATCTACCATTTACTCCTATTCTGGCATCTGTTAATCGCCTTGTTTGTTACCACCTAGGAACAGTAGCAAAGGGGTCTTTCATTATCACACTAGTGAAGATACCACGAATGATTCTTATGTATATTCATACACAACTCAAAGGAAAGGTAAGAGAAATAGGTTCCATTTTCTTATAAAAACTCAAGGCCTGATATGTTTACCTGTTTATTTAGTCAGTGTGGGAGGGTGGAAGTCTTGTTTTGGAAGAGATCGGGGTAACAAGAAATTCTTCACTGTGAGGAAATGGAATAGGAAGACAGCGTAGGTCAGCCCTGTGGGAAAGGGTGCAATAACCTAGAACAGGTTACCCAGAGAAGTTGTGGATATCCCATCCCTGGAAGTGTTCTGGATAATGCTGGATGAGGTTTTGAGCACCTTGGTCTAGTGGAAGGTGTCCTTGCCTGTGGTGTTGGGAGTATCTTCCAACCCAAGCCATCCTATTGTTCTCTGAATATTTAGACTTTACAGGACCATGGGACTGATACAGATTGCTTAAGTTAGCAGGCTGAATATCAGTTACTGAAGCACAAGGGAATATTAGTTTCCATAAAAAACTCTTTATCTGTGTTTTCCCACATTCTGTGCTTTTCTAGGAAAATGCTTGTGCTCGCTGTATGCTTAAAGCCTGCATTTGCTGCCTTTGGTGTCTAGAAAAGTGCCTGACATATTTAAATCAGGTAAGATTTTCCATATTTACATTTTATGTAAGGGCCGATATTAGTATATATATATTCCCAGAGTGCAATCTGATGCCAACACATAGTGTATTGTACTTTGGAACTGAATTTGAATGACAGAACTTCAGTCTTGTCTCCATTACTGAAATTACACTGCAAATCACTGATCTTTGGAATATATTCCACTGATCTTTGGAATATAAATAAGAACTAAAAAATAGCCCATATTCATCTTTGTGAACATGGTTTCTCAACTTTATAACAATTTGTTTAGTGGTTTAGTGGAGGCATTCCCCCTTAGGTCTACTCAGTCAAACTACATCTGAGTTTCAAAATATTTTTGCTATGAAAAGAGAATTAAGCTTTTCTATGCATAATATTTAAGATTCTCACAGTGTAAAAATGATATAAAACATCAAATTGTCATCATCATCTACAAAGGACAAAAAGAGTTGCAAATTGCAACACACTGGCTGGTCCTTGTAAAAGACCCATTGTAAAAGTGGGTTTATGGGCCATAAATATCACATAAATAAATATCAGATACATAAATATCTTGTACATAATATCTCTTTCACTGTTGTTAATTTTTTTTAACTGGTGGAAATGTAGAGAATAAAATTGTAAGAAAGCATTTTAAACATCCCAATGTAATCCTTGAAAACTGTCCCTCGCTAACCTTGAATGCAGTCTAGTTAAGTGTTTAGAAATAATCTTGGTTGACTTGTATGACACTCAGACTCTTTTATATTTCCAGATTGGTTTTTTTGGAACTATTTAATTTCTGTAGCTATGCTACTGTTCACCTCCTCCTGCAGAGGAATTGCAAATTCTGTTTAATGAGTTTTTTCGAACAAACTTGTTAATGCATAAATTATGAGCAAGAGAGGAGAAGAATAGTAATTCCTTACCTCATATAATCTTCTGTCAGCTGGTTCATATTGCTTGATTCAACAACTCTCAAGGGAATTTTTGTTCATTAAAATCATGTGATGAATGTGTCTTACTCATAGCTGTATCTTCCCCCTCACCTTCCCCATCCTCCATCTGAAATGCCTGATCATTCTATGCATAAATCTTCAATCTCCTTTTTTCAGAATGCGTATACAGCCACAGCTATCAACAGCACCAATTTCTGCACCTCAGCAAAGGATGCCTTTGTTATCCTAGTGGAAAACGCTTTGCGAGTGGCTGCCATAAACACAGTTGGGGATTTTATGCTGTTTCTAGGAAAGGTATGTCTGCTGCATACAGCTGTTACAGATCTATGTAGGAGCAATCTCTCTTTAGCAATGGCTTGAACTCTAATTCAAAATACTTTAAAAACCTGTTTCTTAGTATGCACTTTATCACATCTAGCTGCATCATGTTAGGAGGGTACCATCCACTATAGGGAGCAGAAACAGATGGTCCACTTAAATTTAGTAAAAGTGACTAGAGAGGAATAGCTGAAGTTTATGACACTTTTTGCATTTTTTAGGGAATCAAGAGAAAAGTTATTAGAAAGTCTAAGGTTTTGATTTTGTAGTTAAGACAAAGAATTTTTAGGAAAGGAAGTTGTTCTTTGAAATTCTGTGTAGTATGGAGTCTCTAGGTTTATGTTGAAAATTTGTTACAGTAGTGATCACCTTTTATGACAAAATCAGACTGGAAGAGTACAGAAGCCTGCAATGAGGAACTGCCAGTTTAAGCAACTAAGTTAGTTCTACTCTGAGAATTAAAAGGAGACCAGAATAATTTCTGTGATCAGTCAGCCTTTTGTATTTCCAGCTAATGGAGATATACTTTAATCCAGTGAATTATTTCTGTCCTTTGAAGTGCCATAATTTACTGAAACAATTAATACCAGATTACTTATCTGGACACTGGTTGGACAGATGTGTATTCTTCATTGCATTCCTCTACTTCTGTTAAATCAGAAGTTCAGCAGGCTGGACCTTGTATCCAGTAATTAAATGAGTAAGCTGTGAGAAGAAATAAATGCATAGGGGAGATACAGGTGCTTTGGAGAACCTGAAATTACATCACAAATTTTACTGAGGAATCTGAAAAGTGTTAGGAAACACCCCCTGAAAAGACATCTCAGATTATTAGAAAAATGTTCAGGTGACAGACATGTTCAAATGAACAGTGCACATAAAAATCAGTATCAGCTTAAATAATGCTACACTATCAGCATCTCCTCTAGAAGTTCAATGTGATGTTTTTGTAAAAGCTGACCTATTTTATGATTATGTTTAGTTGCTATTCATAAAAATACACTCAGAAATATTCAAAAAGTTAATTGGCACCACCAATGTAGTCTTTTTGGTTTTGTCAAAACCAGACTGATACCCAGTGGAATATCTGTTACGGGCTCACACATAGTATAGTTCTGTAGAGACTGTTACATGAAGTGCCTCATGTGAACTCTGATCTACTTTCTCCTGTATGGAGAAGAAATAGATATTAAACAAGCTTGGAAATTGTTTCCACTAGCAAAATGAAAATTATACCATTCTCCTAATACCTAACTTCTGCCTCTATCCCAAGTGAAAAAACCAACTGCGTGTTAGTCGATGCATGGCATCTGGTTGTGGGGTTTATATAATTGACAGGACAAAGTTCTTTTTTACAAAAGTATTGTATAACACTAGAATGATGAGAGCAGAATATAAACGTAATTTTCTCCGAAAAATACTCTTTGTGATGAAGAATGTGTAACAATTGACTTGAACCTGTTGAAAAATGAATTAAAGGTCTTTTACCCTCAGGGAAATGGGGAATCCAGGAGGTAGAGCTCTTGTTACCATCTGTTACCTCTAGTTCTAACCCTGGCAGACCAAGAAGCATACTGCCTTGACACAAACAAACCAAACAAAAAATTTCAAAGGGCTTCTGCCATTAGAGTTGTCTACCATTTTCTTCTTCAGGTCCTGATTGTCTGCAGCACAGGTTTGGCTGGCATTATGTTGCTGAATTACCAACGAGATTACACCATCTGGGTGCTGCCACTCATCATTGTCTGCCTCTTTGCATTCCTGGTTGCTCACTGCTTCCTTTCCATTTATGAAATGGTTGTTGATGTCCTTTTCTTATGTTTTGCCATCGATACAAAATACAATGATGGGAGCCCTGGCAGGGAATTCTACATGGATAAAGTTCTCATGGTAAGTTTTCCCTTACTCTCAAAGTTTAAGGATCTGGTTCCATAAAATAGGTATTTTGACAATGGAATGAATGCACTAGCTGAGTTCAATATGCGGGTTTTTGGTTGTTTTTTTTTACCTTGCCATCTTGTTCGTGGCTTGATCAAGAATCATCTGATAAGCATCAAGTAAGTAATGATGCTTCCTTCCCATGGTATTGGCTTCTATTTGCTAGCTATTGGATGAGTAGTGATCTTACAGATTCATACTTTTGGATATCATGTCTTGTAAATTACACAGTGCAGAATAGAAGGAAATAAAGGAAGAAAGCTTGTTTTTTTTTTTTACTTTCCCAAGAAGGACTTCTCTTTGGATATGAGAGAGGAAAAATATCAGAGTATTCTACCTCATGCATAGATAGTGATCACAGTGGAGTTTTGATATAGGCATCGACCAGAATTGGCTCTGTCACACACAGAAATACCAGGCTTTATGGCCTATCCTGGAGCCTACGTGCTTTGTCAAGGCCTTTTGCAAGGCCGATTCATTTTGTCCATTTTTGTCCATGTTATTCTCTGTTCAGTATAACTAGAAACCAAGATAAAAAAATCTGCTTGTCAAGCCTCTCACTTTTTTAGTTGCATAGGAAATTTCTTGTCAGTGTTTTTAAGTGGCAGGTGTAGAATATGTCTCTGTAAAATGTACAATGTACCTTTGTGTAGGCTAGAGGAGGATTCTCATGACTTCTTACTTTTTTTTTTTTTTTTGTGGGAAAATCATGCCAAGAATTTAGTGCTAAATTTTTTGTAAACCTCTATGGAATCTAGAGTATATAATAAATAAATCAGCTGCTGATTAGTTGCTTTTTAACAGAGTAAGAGTAAAATGCAGCAAGTTCTCTCAGAAGAAAGCATTGATAGATTGTAAAAGCATTGTGGGTTTCTTTAGTCAACAGTCAATATCACAAAACCCCAGCAGCTAGTTTACTGACATTTTCTGCAGAATTCTTGCCTTTAAGAGAAAAATATTACTTAACATTTTATAGCACATTTTCTAATCTGCATGAAAAGGAGATTGTGATTTTGTGAAAAATGTAAGAGGTTGAATTGAGGACAGTTAGGGAAATCAGCCAAATCTTTCAAGTAATTATCTCTAAGTCCTTTTGTTTAATGTAGTTCTAACATTAGGCACAGGATACAAGGCAATAAATGGGATTCTGGTTTGTTTGGGGTATTTGTTGTGGATTTTTTTTTTTTGTTTGGTTTTGACTTTTTTTTTTTTTTTTTAAATCAGCCTTTTACCTTCTTTCCCCATAAAGGAGAGCATTGCATGGTAAATATGAAAGTTGTAAGAGCACACAAGGCAGACATCTGTCTGGCTTCCAGAATTAAATAAGGGAGACCTTTGTGGTTATTTGGAAGGCTTTTTTTGGTACCTTGTGGTCCAGTCTAAGCAAAAGAAGTGGGAGATGCAAATTAGCTAGATATTTTGAGTAGTTACATCTTGAAGTTTCTGTCTTGAGATTTAATGTTTGTAGTCTGCTCTGTGAAAGCACTTGTCATTTCATTACTGTTTTTCAGGAGTTTGTGGAGAATAGTAAGAAATCTATGAAAGAAGCTGGCCGGGGAGGTGGAGCTGAGGGCAGAGAGCTAAAACCAATGGTAGGTGCAGATGAGGAGGTGGCGATCCTCCAAGAGTTTCACTTTTACTTCTTCTCCCTCTTTGTCTTTACTGACTGCACTTCTTCAGGAGAAGTTTTTGTTCTCTGTATCACTCAAGATGTTCTGCTTTTTCTGTTTGTGAGCTTGCCTATCACCTGGATGGCAGAGTTTTTGTCACAGCTGAGACCATCTCCTGTAAAAGTAAGATGAAAGGAACTGTCTCATATGAAACAAATGCAGTGTCATTTCATTAGGATTAGTGGTGCATGCCATGTGGTATATGCAGACAGCCCCAGATGCTGAACAGTCTAAAAATAAGATGGTTCTGAGATTTTATGGGCTCTTCTCAGCCCTGAGATGAACAATTTTTGCTCATCTTACTTTCACTGCAAAAGCCTGAAATGAAGAACACTTACTGCCTGCATCCATTGTTGCAAAGTAAGACCAGGTATTCAAAGCCCTCACCAAATTATCTTACGCAGTGCCAAGGAATTGGATACAGTGATTCCTTTCAACCTGCTCAAATGACATTTCTCCCAGTTGTTTGTTTTATTGCCAACTACTTATGTTGCTTGTCTCTTGTGTGCTCTTTCCATCTCACACTGTCAGATGCACAGACAGTGAACAATGCATCATTTATGCTTCTGCAGCCTGTTTTACTTATGGTGTGCCTGTTAGGAAGGCATTGCATGTCTGAGTAGCCTGGAATAAGAACACTATACATGGTACAGATAACAGATAGGAGGATAAGTTTGGAAGGTGGAGAACAGAGGGCGTATAACAGAGAGCCAGGCTGGGCAAGGTATGATTTGTCATCGTACATTATGACTTTGTGAAACAAAGTATTTTTCCATTATCACTTTCTCAGAGTGTTTGGGGTCTTTTTCATTTCCGTTCCATGGGGATCATTTTTTAACCAAATGGAATCTAAATAAGTGTATGCTAACTGAAGAATTTCTTTTTCCAACAATGTATGTGAAGCCATGTTGCATGAGCATTTTTTGACTAAGCTGGAATGAGTTCCTGCTATAGACTGGATAGATGTGTAGCTTTGCGTGTTTTGCTATTTCATTATGGCATACCAGTTTCTAGATTTGCTTATGCCTAAATGCTGCTCTGTTTATGCATATAAAAAACTAATTCTATGCTCATTTACTGTTTTCTTCTGGGAGTAATTCTAGCTGGTCAAGCAGACACTAATGTTGGGATTTTCAGAGCGAGCTAATTGCTGTAAATGCAAATGTGCCATGAAAATTATTGAGATTTGGGTGTGCAAACTCTCTAGTAATATGCACAAAAAATTCAGTTCAAAATTTTATGTTAAACTCTGTTTCAAAGAATTGGTTTACCTTAAGTGGTTTTCCACTTACACTGTTGTCAGAGCTGACACTGACTGCTACTTACAGTTTTGTACTTGACTGCCTGAAACTTGGAGGTTAAAAAACTTTATTCAGCCCCACCCCTTGTAGAATTGCAAACCAAGTACTTGCAAACCAAGGGTGGTTTTATTCTTAGAGGAAATTTTTAATGGACTCTTAGCCTGGTACTGGCTGAAAGTCCTCTTAGGATAGCTGGAGAAGATGCTGAGCACTTGAGGCTCAGAGTGGAAGTCTCCTGCTGAATTACTCCCAATTCTGCTGCTCATGTGAATGTCTTGTTTGGAACTGTTTGGGCTTTGTGGTTTTCCATTTTTGGGCATTCAGCTCCAGTTGATTTGATTATGAAATACTAGGATCTCGCTTCCTGATCACAATGGGACACAGCAGTTAAATATCTGAGACCTTTCCCCAAAGTAGAGGGCCTCAGTTATAGCTAGAGTAGGATCATTCATAAGTCAATTGTGTAACAGTAGTGCCCATAGTCCCAAAATTGCATGTCTGAAAAATAGATCAACACTACTTTTTTCTCTTTTTTTTACAAACAGAGTCTTTACTGCTTTGCTTCAGTTTCCTTGAAATGCAGATATTTCTTAGATATGACAATTATTTCTTCAAGTGAAATGCCCTAAGTGCAGTTGTATTTAAAATAGATATTAGTAGCAGAGATGAGAAAACTCTTTAGGAAGTTCTGTTCTTGTATCAAGGCACAACAAAAAACCCCACCTTTTCACGCTTTTTTCTTTATGGCTTCCAGTGACCCCTTTGACTCAATTTCTCCTTGTCCTTTGGCATCTGTCTAAGACTGTACTGTATGACTTTGTTTTCTAGGCCTCTGGAGCAAGTTCATCTTGAAACTAGCCAGCCATATTGGAACCCATTGACATTCCAAAACAGTATATATATACATATATACATACATACATATATATATATATATATATATAAATAAACAGCCAAAATCAGAGAAAAGGAACAGGGATTTAAAACTTTTTTTAACAATTATTTTTGTGAAACATGTACTCTTTTCATACGGGTGGCTTTTACAAGCAGCTTTATCATTGTTCCATTTCTTAAGTTATTTGTTGTGGTCATGGAAATGTTGATTCTTATCTGCTTGATATTTTAAAATCTGGAGGAAGTATCATTGTAAAGATAATCTGAAATCATGACTGGGTTTAGAGACAGATTTCCCATGACACTGCTAATCTGCTGAGAGTTTTACTTGTTTAATTTCTTTAAAATTTTCATTAAATTCAGGACAGTGACATGTACAGAAAACCTTAAAATCAAGAAAAATTTCGAATTTATTTTTTCAAGAGGTTGTTTCAGCAAAAATTTGTTCAGTTGAAATGTGTTTGTAAGCAGTTATTTTACTTTATAGCCCTGGCAGGGCACAGTTCTGTTTACCAGTATCAGATATCACAATAACCAACTCCTCAGGTATTTAGGTGTGTGGGAGCCCTTGCATCTCCTATTGAACAGAACCTACAAAATGGGGACAGATAATTTTTATATGCAATTAACTTCCTGCTTATCCTACTTTTATCCCTCATACCCATTGCCCTCTATCCTCCCCCTGAGTTCAGTAGCCTCCTTCACACTTCAGCAGTGTTCCTTTGAAGGGTATGGATTCTCCATACAGACAAGTGAAATAACAGATTGTTAAAGCTCAGTCTTAGCCATACTCATGATTAATTCATGACTAGATACAAAGATGCTGAGGTTGGGAAGAGAAATGAATTATACTGCTGTACATAAAAAAGTACTGTATGCTTCATTTCATCTAATGAGAGAGCTCTGGGAGGTAGAAAGGATCATTCCTTGCCTGTTGCTTGATCCATATTTGTACATACTGTAGTGGGTGGCTAAAGCCAGAAAGGGCAGAGAAACATTCCTTTGGAAGTGTAGCTCCCAGGATAGTTATCTGAAATTATTAAATAATGACAAGAGAACATGCTTTTTTATTATTATTATATACATAAATATCTCTTTAGTCTGGAAGTTCACCAGATATGAATGCTAATATTCAATTATTCAGCATAGTGAATTGGTAAATGCATAACTGTATTTGCTAAGAATTTATGATCTGTCTATGCTATATATTCCTTTTGTTAACATTTTTTAAGAAAACTATTTTTGTTATTGTAAAATTAATATTTCAGAGCAGAATTTTTAAACTTATTGCACTAAATACAAGCTGTCTTCAAATAATGATGCCTCAATGGTTCAATCACTCATTCCAGAAAATCTTTTGAAAGAGTAAGAGCCTTTCTACAGAAGCTTTATGATAAAGTAGAGAGGTATGCCTAGGTAAAGACATGCACAACTTGTGTAATCAAGGTTTAGTAAGTAAGCAGTTAACTGTGCTTCCTTTCAGACTATACCAGACTTCTAAATTGCTGCTGAAGGTTTAAATAATTATGTAGTGTCATTTAGCTAACTAGTGCTCTTATCTTTTTGGCAATAGTAAAACGTTTCACTTTTGCTTCCAGAAGTCATTTGATAACTTGAATTTGTTACTTTTTTTTCCTGTAAGCCAGTTAAAACAATTTACACTTTTCATATCACAGAACCTAAACTATTTGAATGGTACAAAAATAAAGATACATTCAGAAAGGATAGCTGTTGGGGAGGCAAAGAGACTTACCCAGTCCTGGAAGCACTTACTCATTTAAGTGAACCATATATATAACTACTAGCATCAGGAGGGCTCTCTAAGTATGGAAATAGTAACATACACATCTGTGTAAGTGCTGACTGGACTAGAGCTTCAGCCTAGGGATCCAAACTGGAGCACAGGTGAGGCCTCTCTGTGCAAATTAGAGGTCAGACTTGCCCAGAAGAAGCACTGGAGCAGCCTTACTTTTGTGGAGAGGAGACATTCCTGCAGTACCAGTGTCTAAGATAGCAGTGGTACTCAACACCACTATTTGTGTAGATCAGAGGGATTTAGCAACACAAATTTAAAAACTAGCTTAGATGAATTTTAGAAACTGGTTTTCAAGACTAAAAGACTTAACAAGTACCCAGTTGCTTCCAGAGAATCTAGTTTTCATCTTGTTTGGAGGTTATTGGAAGTACTTAATCAAAGAAGCCCTGTATTCTTCTCATTTTGATAAGAAAATTCTGCCATGACTGGTTCCACAAGTTTGTGTTCTCCACTCACTGGATGTCCTGAGTGGGAACTGTACTCTGTAATTGCAACTAGGACTGCAATTGGTAACAAATTTTGTATTTTTGTATGACTTGACTGTGCACCATTTTTATAGCAGTTTATCCTGTCTTAAAAATAAATTTGTTTATTTACATGGTGTTTAAAAGATACAGGCAACACTTTTCTATCGGTAGTTGTAATGTTTAAGTGAGAAACCTATATCATTACAAAGTTCTTAATAAAAACGTGTGCACCATTCTTGAGTGTATATCCAGCATGCAGAGCTTTTCAGTCTTGACAAAAAGGCATTCCATCCACACACATGCTTTCCAGTGGCCCCTTAAAGCTTTTGAATGCCCATTGAAGTTCATTTGCAACCAAACTACAAGCTGCCCTCTTCCAGCTCTGTCTTGTGCACAGAGATAAGCAGAAGACAGAATTCTGAAAAGATAACATTTCATGACAAATTTAGGCTGCTTTCCTTTCCTAGTGGGGATAGTGGAGTGGGAGGACATTTTGGCATGTAAATCCCATACATAAATTTTGGCAGTAGGGGTGCTGGGGTCTGCCAGCTGTGAGGGATTAAATACTTCTTTTGACTGTTGGTTATTAAAGCCAGTGTATGGTCTGCTTTGTGGGAAGCAGTCTAGACTGAGTAGAGAGTGATGCTGCACTGAGAATAACAATGCAGGAGGAGCAGATGAGACAGCTAAAACAGAGGAATCATCTCCTCAAAAAGTCCATTGAATTGAGTATTGCTAAAAGACTGGAGATTTAGGCTGGACAATTTGGGTTTAGAAACAATCATTGGGATTACTGCTTCCCAGCATTTGGTTTCTGCATCATAGCCTCTGACCAGCTTTCAAACAGAAAAAACATACCAATCCTTAAATTGTTAATTTTTTTCCCACATTATTTTTTCTGTTTGGAAGTTGAACAGTACATGTCATCTTTACTGCTTCTTCCAGCCTTAGAGAATGTTTTTCATTGTTGTTCTTTTGGGTCTTATTTCTATATTGCTGTCTGAGTAAAAGAGTGGCAAGTGGCAGAGTGTCAGCTCCCCTTTGTCCCTTGATCTTACCACATTCCCTTTTACCTTCCTGAAGCAATGATTCAGGATATTACCTGTAGTGAATGAGAGGGAGAGTATGTGCTAAGCCAAAGTTCTGAGGTAGAATTCTTTTCTTTTTTCATCTGGTATTACTCCATCACTGCGGTTAGAAGTGCAACCAATCACTCCTAGAGTTTCACTGCTGCTCCAGAGCTAGATTTAACACATAGAATGGCCAGCTTAGATTTGCATCTTCAGCTTTCCACGAGCTCCCAGTGCCAGAACCAGGATGGGCTTCTAAATGTGGCCTTACATTGGCATAGTAAGTGAAGGACTTTTTGCATTTGGAAAGTGTTTTCTATAAGGGAGACCTAACAGTGGAAAATGCAGTTAAATGTTGTGGTGGGTTCACCATGGCTGTCACATACACTGCTACTCTGTTGCTTGCTCGGGATGGGAGAGAGCAGTGAAAGGACAAAATTACTGATCTAAGTGCAGTTATAAGCAAATAAGGAAAAAAACAAAACAAAACAAAAACAAAGGCAATCATTTACCAGCAGACCAACGCCCAGCCAATCTCCAAGCAGCAACTGCTTGTGAACTACACCCACCCCAGTCTGATGGCTGAGTGTTACATTACATGGTGTGGAATATTTCTTCAGTCTGTTCAGGTCAGCTGTCCTGGCTGTGTGCCCTCTCATCCTTTTGCCTAACCCCAAACGACTGCGAGGGTCATAGAGTGGAAAATAGAGCAGGCCTTGACCCTGTGTAAGCAGTGCTCAGTAGCAGGTAAAGTTTTGTGTTAGCAGCACTGTTGCAGATCTAAAACACAGCATCTTGCAGGTTGCTGACCGTCCAGTCTAACCCAGTACACAGGCCCACCTACCCAGTAATTAATCCAAGACTTGCTCCCTGCATTTCTATACAGCATCTTCTCAGGGTGGTTACTTCTTTCTGAAAGGGCTTTTTTTGCAGCAGGCAATTAGCCTGCTCCACAGTGCTCCCTTTCATGGAGGGAGCAGGGGATGTTAGCTCTTACTCTTTCAGCACATAATGGGGATATAAAGCAAAAATGAGCCCTTTCTGTATCAGTGTTCTGGCAATTGAGCAGCCAGTGTTGGAAACAATATACTTAATGTGCCCTCAGGGCATGCACTTTAGTGGTTTGCTCTGAGTGGTTATGATGTATTCTATGAATGTATGTTATGGAGTCAGAATAAAATGCATGTAGCAGACATATACTCATCACCATCTAGTGAGCATTTAGTTCAGAGTGCATATTACATGCTATGTTGAATATGGCACAGTCGTTTTAAGAAACAGTTTTAAGATTTATTAAGTAGATACCTTACAGCATTCCTGTTTTTTAAATCATGGCTTGGCCTGTGCAGATACCGTTTACTAAATCTAACTATCACTAGCCCATTGTTTCTTGAACAGCTTGTGTCACATTATCAACACAGAAATTCTATTTCATCTTTGTGAAAAAACCAAAAAGACAACAAAACAACCCTTGTGTTTCCCAACACAAAACCCAACAGGCTTATTTGAAGCATTTCTTGCCCTCAGCTTCTTTGTTGGGATGATGAAAGTTTACTTTAAATATTTCCTTTTCAAATGCTCTTCCAACTATTTAGTCTCTGCTGTTATTTCCACCATGTAACAAGATTATGGAGACTAGTAAATCTGTATTTCTTGGTGTTCTGTAGCAAATACTGTTTTCAAGGTATTTTTTTCTTTTATATTTAAAGAGATGAGAGAAAAGATGAAACTCATCTCCTGTGATGGGTGTTATGTAAAAAAGGCAAAATTTCTGGTCTGGGATGGAGCTGTGATGAGTCTTGCAATCTGATACAATCAAGCCGAAGCTCCTCAGAGACCAGGATTATGAAAACATTTCTAAGGAGAACTGGTAGCATGAATTGATCTGATAATACCCATTTGGGGGTTAAACTATCTGGCATTCATTGGAGAGACATCTGTTAAAATGAAACTAGCAGAAAACCAGCAAATGCCCATCAGATTCTACTCCCCTGTCTTACTGAGGTCAAGTCATCATATTTGAATATGATGACCAGAATTGGTGTTATAAGCATTTGGTACTTCTCTACAGAAACTCCCCTTAGAACCAAAGTTCCAAGAATTCAGAGTAAAAGTACCAGCTGACTTTAACAGAACTAGCCTAATTTCAGTTATGTTAAAGACAACTATGGCCTCTCTAAGTATGTGATTTATAAGCAGATACCTAACAGCATTCCTGTTTTATTCTGGCAGCATAGGTGGATACCATAGGTGTACCACCTCTCCTCTCTGGGTTAGTGGGAATTAGAGGCGGTTTGTTTCAAAAAACTATGGTGAAACTAGGAAACTGACTAGTTATGAAACCCAGCAGAAGTTGTGCACTGACTGGAGTTCCTGCTATAAACATGTTTTTTAACTCAAATACCATGTGTCCTCCATGTTAGTATTAGCTGGGTCCCTCCCTGCTGCTCAGACTGAAACAGGAGGGTATCTCTCATTTGAAAAACAGCGCCACCAACAATCTTGTAATGTCTCCCAGGGGAGTCAGGGAAGAAAAAACAGAAAGGTGGTTTTATTTCTAATGTAGGACAGAAAAGCTGCTAGAAGTTAGGTGGAGCCATGGAGAGCAGATAAAAAATATTACACAGGATCTTCACAGTAGTTAAGAAAATTCACATTCCAATTCAGATATTTCACAGCAACATCTCCTGTGTCCCACTTTAATTTTACTCTGGAGCTCTTCAGAGCAAAATGAAAGTGGAATACTATACCTATAGAAAATAATTATTTCTATGTAATGAATTGTGTTGCTGATTACAGAAACTACTCTAAGGAAAAAGGAAAATCTTCTGAACAGGTTTTAAAGGCTTGACAGTACTTGCATTGTTATAGTCCATCAAAGCTTCATCTGGAAACGAATTTTTCATCCTCCTTTACTCATACTTCTAACAGGGCAATCAAACCCCTGGACTGGCTTAGTGATTTACATTGAATCAAGATCAACTAACAAGTGCTCCTTTTTCCAGTGGAATGCCACCTCCTTTGAGAATGGGAAAAGTAAATGTGACATTGTTCATTGTTGTCTTGAGAACTTAAACTATTTTATACTGCAAGCTGTGAATGCAGGAAGAGAAAATAAATTAACAGTGCTGATCTAATCTTAGATTTTCTGTGTAAACTGACATTGTGCCAGGATACTGATGCAAAACTGTATTTTAGTCAAAGAAATGTATAGATTTTTTAATGTATCAAAATAAAGTTTTCCTTTTAAGTAAGAAAGAAATTTCTGTATCATCCATGTGGTGTGTATAAGCCATGCTCTTACTCAATACAATACAATCTCATGTTCCTGAGAAGCAAGTCAAATTTTTGCTGAAGTTTTACTTTGTTCTGTGCCTGCTCTTTAGCTGAGTAGCTGCAGTAATACTGGACATACTGTCCTGGTGCCAAGAAAAGCATTCTGATGGTAATGTTTTCTGAGATGAGCGTGTTAATGGGGTTTGGTAGAGGAAAGGCAGGATATTCTTGCTGTCTTTCTTCTCATTAATCCTCTCACATCTCTGCTCTTTGGCTTCTCTCCAGAGTCTTGGAAACTGCCCCTTTAGGCTAATGGTTACACCCATCTCCACATTCCTCAGCCTCTCTGATGGGCTACAGGGTGTGCTGAAGTCGTCACATACAGAAGCAGTTGGAAAGTTCTTCACTGTGAAAGGGGAGGTTGTGGTCACACATGCAGAAGAGTCTTTGCTCATACCCAGGAAGCAGGACTCTCAGGGCTCATAAGGCTATCTGGAGCATGCTGGCTCATAAGATGCTTTGCCTTACCAGGACCACTGTGGGGCAGTGAACAGTAGGGAGGCATGAAGGAGATCTTGCTATGCGTTATGAGCCTTGCAAGCTGCATAACCCAGCACAGCACCTGTTGTGGCACCATCACCTTGTTCCTCAAGGACCTGTACACACTCCCCACTCTGCACAGCTGTTCTAACAGCTTGGATGTCTAAAGATAGATGGTGAGTAGACTCAATAACAGAGGCACATACAGTCACAAAGATTTCTTCCCCTCTCCTCTCTGTCCCATAGCACAGCATATTTCTGCTTCTTGCTGACAGGTTTTTTTTTACACTAGTACACTGATGCACTAGTAGCCAAGCTGAACCATGTCTTCTGCTTCTATTGTTCTTTACTGCACTGTA